AAAATAGTGGTTTCCTGAAAAGTATGAGATGATCTATCCTTGTGGTTTTTTATTTAAAATTTTCTGATAATCACCAATGTTGAGCATGTATTCACATACCTACTGGCTTTTTGTATGTGTTCTTTGGGGGAAATGGGTGGTGTCTGTTCAAATAATTAGTACTTTTAAAAATCAGATCATTAGTTTTTAGATTTTTTTTTGCCACTGAGTTGTAAGAATCCTTTCTATGTATTAGGAATTAAGCCCTTATCTGATATATAGTTTGCAAATATTTTCCCTCATTCCATAGGTAAACTTTTCACTCTGTTGATTATTCCTTTGCTGTGCAGAGCTTTTCAGGCTGATACACTCCGGCTTTTCAGTGTGCGCTTTGATCCCTGTGCTCTGGTGTGGTCCCTTGGAACTCCACAGTTCTCCTGTGCCTGTGTGTGCGTGCGTGGGCAGCGCAGCGTGCTGACAGAAGAGGAGGACTTCTGTAAGGGAGCCGATTTCTCGTCCTGACGCGGTTATCGACATCTACAGGGTGACTTCATTTTTGTATAAAAACATATAAAAATCTAATTTTTATTATTCATACCTAAACTGTTTTCAGGCTACGTGTATTTCCCCCTTAGGGTCATACGATGGATTTCACAGGGCAGGGTATTTAACTGGATTTTTAAAAGCAAGTTTGGGGATTAACCCAGGGCCTGTGGACTTCCCAAACTCCTCCTCCTCCTCTTCTTCTTCTTCCACCTCTTTCTCCTCTTCCTCTTTCTCTTCCTCCTCCTCCTTCTTTTCTTCTTCATCTTCTTTGTTTTGAGAAAGAGTCTTGCTAAGCTGATTTTCTTAGACTGTACTCAAATTTGTGGTTCCTCTACCTCAGCTCCCAAAGTCCTGGAACTACAGGTATCTGCCAGCTACCCAGCTGGATTTACTACCTTTTAAGTGGCTATGTAGTAATGGTAAGAGATATTATTTTAAATACACTTTCATGTATGACGTTTTTATTATTTAAGATTAATTCTTTGATACATGTTGCAAATTCTCTTTCCCAGGATGACATTTCAGGAAATTCATTTGGCCATTTATTTTGCTGTATGTAAGTCTTAGTCTTAGTTATTCAGATTTATTAATCTTGGAGGCTGGGGACATAGCTCAGTGGCACAGCGCCTGCCTGGGAAGCATAAGATCCTGAGTTCGATTCCTGGTACCCCCTCCAAAATATTTATTAATCTTTTCCTTTTTGGTGTCTGAGTTCTGCAGAAGGATTTACAATGCCTCCCCTCATCAGTCCATTTTAAATTTCTACCCTGTTATCATTTAGTACCTCTTGTGACTTTCTCTCTTCTTTGGCCACATGTTTAATAATTATGTTCCTTACTTGCTGAATGGATGTGGGGAATCTAGTGTGTACACACACACATGCACATATGCACATGCACACACACAAAGTAATATAATAAATAAGGTAAAAAAGTAAAATGAAAGTAAGTAACATAAGTAGAAATTCATACTTGGGGAGGATTGTACACACACTCTCTGTTTTTCTCTCTCTCTCCATCTGGAATACACATTGGGATAATTGTTAGGTAGAGAGCTAACTTTATTTTTCCAGATGCTTATCCCGACTTCTTTTAAGCCATGTATTGTAAACTCCATCTTTTTCATGCTAATATGAAATGACAGATATATTCTTAAAACTGGGCATTCATGCAAGATAATTTTCAAATAAGCCCTCATCTCACCATTGCCTCCCAGCAACAAATGAGCCCTCACATATCTTTAAAGTTCCTGTCTTTTCCATGTCCTATCTACACACATCTGTGTGACAGTTGTTGCTGTAGACCCCCCTGGAATATCCCCACCATCACCTCCTCATGAGGAACAGGCTAAGGAAGAAGCTACATGTGTTGTTGACCTCAGAAATCAGCTTCAGCAGTGTAGGGTTGATGTAATATATTTGGGGAAGGCTAACTTAACTCTGTGAATTTATTTCATCCATGGACTCAGTCCAGTCAGTGTGCTCAGAAAGATGGTGTTGTGGTCAGGTTTTGCATGGGAAACAATACAGGACACATACTTTCTAAGATTATTTTCTAATAGTCACCCAGACAGTCAAGTTCAAAAGACTGCAGGAGATCTGTCCACACATTAAAGACCCAAAGAATCCAGCTGAGGGCCTGGATCCCATGGCAATGTCCGGCATGAGTCCAGCTGAAAACCTAGAGCCCTTCACAATGCCCCTCACAAGTCCACCTGGAGGCCTAGAGCCCATGACAATGTCTTATGCGAGTCTATTTCACAGATCTGTGCTGGGAAGGCCCAAAGGTCAGTGGTGGAAGCTAGAAAGTCTGTATCAGTGGGATGAAGGATCTGTGCTGGTCGGCTGAGGGATTTGCACTGGAGCCAGGAAGTGACACTCAAAGTAAGGACCAGAGCTCCTCCGAAAAGTACCACAGCCATCCTCAGTGACAATGAGGTCCTGAGCTCCTTAGATGATGACAGCCAAGTCCATAAAGGAAAGCCAGTGAGACAAGATTCTCTCAGACACTGAACAGTGCACCATCTTCCCCTCTAGAGCCAGGAAGTGATGCACAAAGTAAGGCCCAGAGCTCCCCTCGAGTGAACCGTGGCCATTCTCAGTGCCAATGGGGTCTTTAGCTCCGATGATGAGAACAGCTGAGTTCATCAGGAATGCCAGCATGACAAGCTCCTCCAAAAGAACCAACAGCTCCCAACAGCTTCTCTTCTTTTTCTTCAGTTCTCCTTTTTATTTTGTTGGCAATGATCCTTAGGTGGGCTTCCCCCACCCAGCACCACGCTGGTTCAGTTCAGGTGGGTGTTACAAGCTGACCACCAGTTGTCAGTCCACCACAGATGGTAAAGAAGTCTGTGTTCCTAAGAGGGTAGCCACTGAATGTAGGCTTCATGCCATGATAGCTGTCCAATTTCCTTCTGACAGAGGAGCAAGATTCGTTTCTTTGCGATGACTGGGAATTTTCACCTGCTCATAAGCCATGTGAAACACAGTGTTGTGCATTGACAGAAGAGAATGACTGGGAGTTTTCCAGTCCTGATTAGACCCACGTGTCAGATCAACTCGATTTGTTTGTGTCTCTGCTTCCTTCCTCATCTATAAGAAGGTAGTTGGCCTATATGTCTCCTAGCTTCCAGCTAAGTATAAGACTACGATTCGTGATACTTTGGTCTTTCTACCTGTTAATTTAAAATGTTTTCACAGAGAAGTCCTTTTGATGTGCCAAAAGTTACTCTGATCACAGATGAATAAGGCAATTAATTTGTTACAAACAATCAGTATGTTATGAACTTTATAAAAGGAGTGAATATATTTGGTAAAAGGCAAAAGATTTATACACTCTGGAGAGAAACCAGGGTACTGAATGAATGCATTTAGAAGAAGGAAGAAGAATGGAATAGATCAGTGCGATTGGAATGGAGACAATGCTTATCTCTCTCTTCTGAATTGGAATGCCAGCTTTGTGATGTACTGTGACCATACCTCAGGTTTATTCTAATGATTCTGCTCAGCGTTATGGACCCCTGGGTTTGTATGGGACCAACACACTTACTGGAGATCCTTATTCCAATGATGGCATTTTGAATCATAGGGCTTTTTTCAAGACCTTTACTTGAGATGAACTCCTGATGATATTTTGATGCTATGCCCCTTCAGTAGCCTAGAAACAAACTGAGTGATCAAGGCCATCTCTTTTCCTATTAAAAACAATCTGACTCTTCTCTTTGATGGTTTCTTTTTTCTTAACTTACGTTCTCATCCCAGTTAATTCACAATGCTGTGCAAGGGAAATACGTTTAAGACGTGCTGAATCAATGAGTTGCTTAAGGTAAGTTTTGGCTAGGATGAAGGAAGGTAGAAAAAGAAGCATTTTGGGGAAATAAACTTGTTTTCTCAAAGTTCAAGATGAGAAAAAAAACACCCAACATCCTGGGAAAGAAGGATCAGTTGGTGCCTTGAATATCAGAAAAAAAATCGATAATTTGAGTGATGGAGGCCCATGGCAGTTTGCCCAGCTGGAGATGACAGGTACAGAAAAATGTTAAGATGCATTCTGTGGGAGGGTCAAGCTAGTGAGACCTGAGGAAGGGGTGCTGGGGCACAGCACGCAGAAGGTAGGCCAGGAAAGAGCTGATCCATGTGCACATGGAGTGGTGAACTTATGGTATTTGGGACTAGGCACAGAGTTCATTGCATATCATCTTTATTCTGTACATTTACTTTTTCACAGGTCTAGAAAAATGCCATTTATTTTTTATCCAGTAAGAATAGATAAGAAACTTGAGAATACCTACCTTGGACATATTTTCAAAGTGTGAAAATAAGTGAAAAAATTGTATTTATACTAAGATATAATTCTTTCTATCACCTACTTAGTCTAATAATCTCTTGAGGCAGTTTTTGAGAAGAATGCCATTTTAGATACTTGCCATGAAGGCAGATAGGTGAGCAGTGTGCTCTCCAGAGCAGAGCAATAAATACAACTTTGGGAGTCTGTTGTACATCTAAAGTCAAGGGCTATTTCAATGGAATATCTCTCTCGTTGGGATAAACAAAATTAAACAATACACAGTGCTGCATAAGGAACTAGAGAAATTGGCCTTGGGTCAAGCAGAGAAAAGGACTTAAAGAGAAAAGGAATTCATATGGCAATCTTATTCTATGAGTTCTCAACTAGGTTCTACTTGTGCAGTTTCTCAAAATATTTAGACAGTATTTTCAAGTCATATATTGTTACACATTCAAATTTACCAAGAAACCCAAACTTCTAGCCCAAAACCACTGTATTTAAATAATTTTATGGTGCTATATGTGTGCAACGATCAACTTTCAAAATAAAAACTCTGTCTGGAGTAAAGACCTGTAGTATCCTGTGTGTGGCTTGCATTGAGAGAGATTTAACAACAGTTTATGGTTGCTGGTGAGCCCAGTGTAAAGGATTCCACATTAAGTCATAATTGCCTTTGTGTTGGGAGCTTATATGTCAAAGGGTGAACTCAGGCAGAGCAGAGAGTAAGTGTGTCCTGTAATAACAGCACAGCAACTTGTTATTTAAAACAGAACCACAGGAAGAATAGAAGGATGACCTTACTCTGATGTCCATCCTTGAGAAAATGTCCACAGCAGATTTGATGGAGAATCTGAGGGAAGAACTCACTTGCTTCATCTGCTTGGACTATTTCAGCAGCCCTGTAACCACTGAGTGTGGGCACAGCTTTTGTCTGATGTGCCTCCTCAAGAACTGGGAGGAGCATAATACACCGTTGTCTTGCCCTGAATGCTGGAGGACCTTGGGGTGCCCTCATTTCCAGCCCAATGAGAGACTGGGGAGGCTGGCTAGCATCGGCAGGCAGCTCAGATCCCAGGTCCTGCAGAGTGACGACGATTCAGGCGGCTGTGGGAGGATGGTGGTAGCCACTCGAGTGTTCTCTGATGATGAGCAGAGTGTCACAACTTTGTCCACGCAAAGTCATGGAATAAACAGAGTGCATCTCTCAAGTGAGGCTGAGGAGCAACACAAAGTAAGATGGGCTGTTCAGTATAAATCTCTGCCCCACCCCTTTCCTCCCGCAATATTCTCCATCAGTGACGATCACGGGTCCACCTTACCAGGCACCACAGCAAAACTTATGTGGGTCTTGTTTTGGGGCTTTGCTTGAGAGTCCAAGTCATCTGGTAGTTATTGGTTTTCAGTGTGTCTTCAGGACCTAGTGTTCAGCCCAGGTGCCATAGAGTTTGTTTCCATTTCAGGAAAAGCTCCAAGAAATCCTCAGTCTTTTGCGTAAGAAGAAGAAGGAAGCTCAAGCTGTACTGACACATGAGAAGGAGCGAGTGATACTGTGTAAGGTCAGGGTCAGTCTTAGTTTGGATCTTGCATGTGATTCTGTGTAATAAGGGGCAGTCGGGATGCTTAAGGAGATGTCAGGGGAAAAGCGATTTTTTTTCCCAGCCCTGGTCCTGCACTGTGTACTTCCTTGCTTTGGGCTGCCGACCTGTACTTGCCTGCCTGGGATTCTCATGACTCAGCTCAAGTTTACCCATCTCACACAGATTTATTTTTCCTTTCTTTGTGCACCTAAGATACCTCTATTATGCCTCTAATTATATTTATTTAAAATACAAATTACATTTATAGACATATGGCATATGATGGAAATCAATTTTTAAAAAGGAATATCAGAAGTGTTTGGGGGGAAATAGAGAATGCAAATGAAAAAGAAACAGAAAAGAATATAAGCAAAATAATAGTTTGAATTATACCTGAACAAATGCCTAAAATTAGTCATTGATTTGGTTTTATGTTGCCTCACAGAGAAAAGAACCAAACATTAGATATAAAAATGTGGGTATCTGAGTCCCCTCATACATTTTGAATGGTTAAGACTATTTGTAATGTATATTTTTATTTCTGGTATGTGATCCAATGTTGATTTTCATTAGTCAATATCCTTTGAATAAATACATTTTCATATTTTTTTCTCATTCAATTTGGCTTTATTTTTTAATAATAGTATTAATTATCACCTGTTGTATTTTTGTGTTTAGTTTTGGATACTTCCGGTAGAATGACAGCTCCTGGGAACAGACATTTTGGTTTTGTTTATTATCCTTATCTGTAGCACACACAATTTTCAAAACATAAGACTTCCCCCAGCCAGTCAATAGAAGATATGTGCTAGGTGTCAGATTTCAGGAAGGGTCCCAGTGGAACCATAGGACTTTGTAAGGATTAAAACATCCCGTGGGTTGGGCATGGAGGGTTCTCTTCCTAACTTTGTTATTCTTTGTGTGTGTGTGCATGTGTGATGGCAGGAAGAGACAAAGACTTTCAAACAGGTCGTCGTGTCAGAGTACATGAAGATGCACCAGTTCCTGAAGGAGGAGGAGCAGCTCCAGCTGCAGCTTCTCGACAAGGAGGAGAGAGACAACCTGACGAAACTGCAGGACAATGAAATCAAACTGACCCAGCAAGTCAGACACCTGAGCAAAATGATTGGGCAGATCGAGTCCACGTACCAGAGCTCAAATTTAGACTCTTTTGAGGTGAGGCTAAAATTCACTATCGTATAGACAAATCTATAGGAAAAAATGTAGTACCCCCTTTTCAAGCTATAGGTAAAACATTTTAATTTACTCACCTGAAAAACTAAGTTCTGCCCCAAAATTAGTTTTGCCAAAGAATTGGCATCTATGTCAATAAAGTCTTGAGAAGGAGGAGTGAGAAAAGGACAGGATGCCTATCCCAGTCAGACAGGATGACGGCGACTCCTTCTCTGCCTTCCCTCAGCAGCCTCAGCATTGTCAAGTATTTTATTAAGCTTATTAATGAGAACTTACTATGTAATGGGCACATTAAATTGTCTCAAGGGCCTGATGATGATAAGGACTGCTGTGATGCAGACTGTAGGTGACTGCCATCCATGAAGTGGGCGTACAGTTGCACTTATCTAACAGTTCAGATCTATGACAGCGAGGTAAATGGTCAAACAGGTAGCGCTGTATGTGGCAGAACATGGGTGTCCTGTATGCCGAGTGTATTTTCCATACCATGTTTGCTCTCCTGCCTGTGCTGGCTACTGCATTCTGCTGAGCCTTTTCTTTTTTTTTTTTTTTTTTTGGTTTTTTTCCCAGTACCGGGAACCGAACTCATGACCTTGTGCTTGCCAGGCAGGCGCTTTTGCCGCTGAGCTAAATCCCCAGCCCCTCTGCTGAGCCTTTTCAAATGCAAGCTGTGTGAGCCATCTCCAACTTCCAGTTTGTTTCCTGGGCTGATTCCACAGGATTCCACTATTTTATTTATTGCCTTCTGAACAAATTCCTGTGACTAAACACAGACTTTGGTTCATTCTCATTGGGCTATTTTCCTCTGCTCATCCCTGGCTCCATGAGGCATCAGAAGAGGAAACCATTATTTGTATCCTTTGTTAATAACAGGTTCTCTCGACAAAATGATGCTATGAGAAAAAGAACAAACTAGTCTCTAGTCATTGTGAACAGTATGGCACGTTCACCCAAACGATCTCTAGAAGAACTTGGCAACTTTTTCCCCTGCCATGTAAGCTCCCTTTCAAGGTGAGCTAGGACCCTGAGAAATGGGTCCTGGGAACTTTGCCAAGAACTATGTTGAATATGTGCACATAGACATGTGGTGGAAGTGAACAAGTGCTGGCAGTGAACAAAAGCTAACCGTCTTTCTTTTATACCCTTAGGAAATAAGAGGAGCCCTGGAAAGGTAGGTTTCACTCTGTGTTCAGTTATGTAAACTCTGGGGACCTGATGCTGGTGGAAGATTATGAGATGCGAATGAGACTGTTGATGTATTGGGTGGAATGAGATGGACTCTCAAGTGGGACCTTGTCCTGTGGTCTGTGCCACGGAAGGACTGAGGATCTGCTGTCTTACAGGAGTGAGTCACAGCTGCTTCAGTGTCCAGAAGCCACCACCACACAGCTGAGTCAGTGCCGCATCACTGGAATGAGGGAGATGCTAAGAAAATTCAGCAGTGAGTCAACCCCATATGCCACACCTACAGAGATTTCCAAACTTAACCTTTGTGTGCATTAAGGGATGCATAGCTGAGCTCCTGGGCAGCTTCTCCTGACATAAAATATTCACCATCTGACAATAGGCAGTTGGTTAAGATACCATCAGCCAGCAGTAAACAGCAGGCTGGGGTCACAGACAGTGTTGATGCCGAAGCAGTGATGATTGACTGATGTTCTATCTGGCTTTGTTTTCAGTCCAAGAAGGCCTGGGTCTCATGCACATGCATACATGTGTGTGTGAGAGATGTTGTACAGCCTTGTTTTTGCACACACACATCTCATGCAGAGCTTTCTGCATTTTGCGCTCTGTTCCTGTTAGGATAAAAGCCAACTTACTGAAGTCCATTGAGGGAACATTCAAAAACTATCTGTGTAGAAGTCTGCAGATATTTAGACTGGCCAAGGCCAAGACAGATCACTGTGAGTTCTCAGCTTGCAGCTCACCCTGCTGACAATCTGTGCTCTGAGGAAAGCTGAATGAGCTTGAGACTCTACGAATATTTGGTAAATGTCCACTATGTGCCCAGTGTTATAATGTGGGGCTCTGAACCTACTTACAAAGGTGAGTGAGACTAAAAATGTCTTTGCTGTCACAGGATTTTCAGTAGAAGTAAGGGACAGACAATCACACAGACAATAGCTATGGTTCGGGTTTGGTTTATAAATAAAAGTATGAACTTTTATGATGGTGCACCTAATCTTACCTGAGAGTCAGGGAAGTGGGGGCTTCTCATGTGACCTCCTCCCAAGAGGGCAGGATGGGGGCTCCCCACCAGTTCACAGTGCACTTTGTTGAATTGTCGCCGGGAGTTCCAGTGCTGTGTCTGTAAGTATATGAGCACGGCGCAACGGAAAGTGTGGGTTAGGAGTGGCTGTTCAATCCCTCATGACACTGTCACCTTGATGAAGTCTCCCAGTCTTTAAGAACCCCAGCTTTCTTATCTGTATTAACTAGAGAAAATAAGACTTGCAACAACTGAGACAATAAACAGTGAACGTTCAGCACTTTAGAAAGAGCACAGTGAATGCTCATCATCCTTGTATTTTCCCATCCAAACCGAAGAATTAGAGCCAACCATGGCCGACGTGAACACCCACAGCAAGGGCAGCCTCCTGTGGCTAAGTAGCCCTGAGTGCTAAAAGTGTCCTGAAAACTCAGCAACTTGCATTCCACTATGAGAGACTCCTCTCTTGCTGTCAGGTTGACTGAATGTCATTCACCACTTTTCTCTTTTCTGCTTCTGGGTGGAAGTTCACTCACCACCTTTTGGAACAGTGCGGAACACGCTCTGAGATTCTGTTCAACATAAAGCCCCCCCAGTGCACTCATCTAATTCACATTTAAAGGACTGGACTAAGTCCCAAGAACTTAGTTTAAATTTCACATCTATAGGAGGGTTCTTATAGGTACCAAAGGAGGAGTCACTCTTTTCTCCTCTTGCAGCAGAGATCACTCTGGATCCAGCCACAGCCAATGCCTACCTCGTCCTGTCTCAGGATCTGAAAAGTGTGAGATATGGAGGGAGCAGACAGCAGCTACCTGACAACCCAGAACGGTTTGACCAGTCTGCCACCGTGCTCGGAGCACAGATCTTCACTGGCGGGAGACACTACTGGGAGGTGGAAGTGGGAAATAAGACAGAGTGGGAAGTGGGCATCTGCAAGGACTCAGTGAGCAGAAAGGGGAATCTCCCAAAGCCCCCCGGGGACCTTTTCTCCCTCATAGGTTTAAAAATTGGAGAGGATTACAGTCTGTGGGTCTCCTCACCTCTGAAAGGGCAACATGTCCGAGAGCCTGTGCATAAGGTTGGTGTTTTCTTAGACTACGAGTGTGGACATATAGCCTTCTACAACGTAACGGATAAGTCCCTCATCTACAGTTTCCCTCCAGCCCCTTTCCAAGATGCACTCAGGCCTATCTTTTCCCCTTGCCTCCCCAATGAAGGCACAAACACAAGCCCTCTTACCATCTGCTCACTGAATAACCACAACTGAGGGACATGGCCCCCAGCCTCTGCTGAGGAGGTCCAGGACCACCAGATGATTCTTCATAAAGACGATGAATGCACTGCAGATTTTTGCATCAGGTTATCTGAAAAAGAATTTCCCCTCACCCCAAGATTGTCGATGAATTCAAGCCCACAATGAAAGGTCAATTAGAAATTAAGTTCAACATCAATCAGAAAAGCTTATCCTGCATCTCTAACCAAGCTCTCTATTAGACTGCCCCATGTATTTGCCGATCACTCCAAATAGACCTGGAAATAGCCCTTATTATCCTGAACCCTATTCTCAGAAGCCAGTTTTATAAATATATGTCATTTTTTTCAAGTGACTTTATTTATTTGACTCACAGACTGTGCAGTTTGAATGTGTCTTTGTCCTATGTGCAGAGATCTGTATGTGGCAGCAATTTCAAATCTCCCCGTTCTTTTTTGAAAATCAATATTCAGCTTTAATAAATACAGAAATTTAAAAAATAGTGTAAGTAGCGGGTTAGAGAAATCATTCTCAGTCACATAGGCATAATTGAAATAGCTATTCATTTCTGTTTCCTAAAATTATTTACCATCTTAATTTACAAGAAACTACATTTTCAAATCTCCTCATTCTCAGTGGTGGCCAGTTCCTATAGACTTGCTCCTGTTTTGTTTTTTCCAGGATTAAGGCTTTAACCCGAGGCCTTGGCGCTGCACTTCATTGCCAGCTCTTTTTAATTTTTTATTTTGAGACAGGGTTTTGGTAAATCACTGTTTCCTACGGTAGGCTAGAACTTCCGTCCTCCTGCCTCAGTATCCCGGGGGGAATGCCCTCTCTCTCTCTTTCTCTCCCTCCCTCTGAAGTTCTTCCGTGCTCACATTGCAGAATGTCACCAATCACAGGGAGTGCTCTGTTATTTCCTCTTAGTAAGCTAAGTCAATGTCATAAAACAGACAGCTAAAATTTTCAGGAAAATAAAGTTTACAAGTTTTTGTCTGTAAGTCATAGACTAGGCTGGGGGGAAATCGATAATCAGACCTCTTAATCTACTCACAGCACCATAAACGGAAGTCAGTAAGTAACAGGGCTTACTTTAGGGCTTGTGTTCATTCTTCTCTTTGATCTAGACCTGCTTTCTTTCAACTTGTTCATTTCAACATTGCATCTTCAAAGGCAGGGAAGCAGATATAAACTAGGCTTAGAATCTCAGAAAAAATCCTCTTCTGAGGATTTGCATATGCATCCTTCCATCGCACACACTTGGAATTGGAGATCTGTAAGGTAGGAGAAACTGCGCATCCTCTTTTGATGATTTGTGGCTCTATTTATTATTTTATTGATAGATTTTTGTTTCTTCATTTCTTATATCCAAAAGGTAAGAAACAAATCATCAAAAGCAAACACCAACCATTTGGTATAAATCTTCCTTGATTACAAAAATACAGTTTTTGTTGGTAAATGAATATAAAGGCAATACATCTTAATGCATTGTACATTGCATTTCATTTTAATAGGTCATACAGCCATTTATTTTCTTCTTCTTTGTCTGCAAAGAGTTGATATTGTCAAGGAAACAAGCCTGCGCACCCCTCCCCCTGCAAAGTTATCCTGAAGGACTCTTTGCTGCTCTATGGTCTACACTGGGCCTGTCCAGGATGTATGAGAAAGATTAAACCTATATTCCTCGTCACTGTGTGAGTTTACATAAAAACCATGAAAAGGTTATCAGAAAAATTTCCCTTTAGGTTTCTAAAAATGGAAACCAAGCCAGGCAGACATGCTGAGGAGCAGCAGAGCATCCCCCAAATGGAAAGCTGAGAGGTGTCTGCCGCGGTCACCCCGCACTGCCCACAGGCCTCACCTCCCTGCTTAGGACTTTGAAGAACGCCATTTCCTTAGGATGAGTGGTGCTCCAAGTGGGGCCTGGCACCACTGCTCAAGTGCCTCCTCTTCCCCTTTTAACTACTCGTCTCCTCCCCGACTCCCATCTCCCACCCTGTCTGATTTGGTAGTAGCTTTTCCAGGAGACAGTAGTTTATAAGTGGCTTCTTATTGAGTAGATAAGACCAAAGTGAAGTCTGCAGTCATGGCCATTTTCTTCTGCACGTGTCCAAACCTAGCTGGAAGGAGGGGAGGCGTTTAGTCCTGAGGGTCGAGAACCCCGAGTGTTCTCTGTACTGATTGCAGCTGGACTACTTGCTTTTGACATTTTTGTCCGAGTGTATCTTAAATATAAGTAGCTTTCCTCTGTGAAATATCCCACTCTGACTGTCTCCTGGTGCTCCCACCGTGGGGACTGAACTTTAGCCTGTCTCGCTTAGAAAGCCTTGGTCGGATTACTTTACAAGTCTCCTTGGCACTAATTTAATACAAGAATGTGCTCCATCCACCCTTGGGTTTGTCCCACAGAGTAAGGAAATGAAAAAGTCTTGAAATGTGCCTGGTATAAAATAAGTAATGCTTATATTCCAGGATCTTTACCTTATCTTTGTAATCTTTTTTATTTTTATTAGTGCATGTTTGCAGTACAACTTTATTCATATTAGACATTTTTTGAAAATATGACATCTTTAAAAATATATGTGTATATCTTTCAAGAATTAGCACATTTTATAGATTATGTTTGTCATATCTGATAATAAATGATATGATATTATCTAATAAATACTCATTAAAATTTTTCTATTTGTCCTTGTAACGTTCTTTACAGTCTTTTTTTTTTTTTTTTTTTTTTTGGTCTTCCAGCATGCTGAAATAATATAAGGGCAGGTACTGAAGTTAATTGTATTGGAAAATATGATTTTTAATGGAACTAATATTTCATTATATGATGTTTCCTAATTTATTTAATCATCTCCCTGCTGTGGACCATTTAGATTGCTTTCTGTTTGTAGCTATTATAGATGACACTGTGACGAACACCAGTGTACATAAACCTTTGGGATGTGTCTCTAATTATTTCCCAAGTATATCTCCTTCAGGCAGGAAAGTACCCTGCAGATTCTGTGGCTACATGCACACAGTTTGCACATTTCCCTATGGAACTTCTCCCTGCCCTGCAGGTACCCCCGAAAGTTTTCCTCTCGTCAGAGCAGCAGACACACTAGATTTGAGATAAATGAGAGAACCTGATCTCCACTCTGCTGTGGTTTTGCAAGAAGTGATGCAAGTATAAACCCAAATTTTGTCCTGGGAAGACCTGGGCTAGTCCTTGCGTTTGGAAATCAGTCAATTTGGTTTGAAAGCTTGACTTCACCCTAAACTGTTTCAACTTCCACATGCAGTATTATTTGAACTCTTATCACTTTAGCTATTTCAAAAATGTGGGAAATATTTACTTGCTTGCTGATTATGTGAGAACACATAAAAGCAATTCATGTGTGGAAAATGATGAATTTTTGTTAGTTTTCCCTTCCCTTCTGAAGAGGACAGCTTGTATGGAATATGGAAAATGTAGGCACCAAAATCTCTGAAATATTTTCAGGAAGGTGTTTCTATATGAGCAAAAGAAGCCTCAACACAAAATCCAGGTAGAGGAAAGGAAATACCTAATTGTATAGCTTCCTCGTGCAAGTCCTTCTGACTTCATGCCTGTGAGTAGCCCTTTACTGAATTAAAAAGTTATATAATAAATATTCACTAAAATAGAAAACTTTTAAAGTTGTAACCTCATTTTTCATTCTTCCAGTCATGGGAGCCGCATCCCTTTGCTCTGGGCTGCTAGGATAGGGTATGAACTCTGCTAATCATCAGCGGTGCGTCTACTTGAAGCACCAAAAGCACAGGCACAGGCTGATGTAGCTTTTGTGACCACTGTGCTTCTTTGGTGGTGCTCAAGTAAATTAGGATGTCCTGAGACATGAATCGGTCAGCCTGGCTAGGGTATCGCTTGCCATGGTCACTACCAGCTGTGAGCACCGCCATTTGGCAGAAAGAGCAAGAGAGAGGGGTCAAGGTCCTGACAAGGCTTTCTCCTTGACAGCTCATTGGCTGGAACAAGGCTCTGTGAGGCCTGAGACTTATGCAAATGAGTTTTATTTAAGAAAAATAATAGCAATTAACAGATTACAAAATGAGATCCAACAGCTGGTAATCTGAGAAACTTCGTTGAAGATAATAATATGTAACATAGCATCCATTGTTAATTCCTGTTATCTTGTTTTGAAATCCTGTATTGTTTTTATTTTTGTGTTGTTTTGTTTTTGTCTTCATTGTTGTTACTTTTTTTTTTTTTTCTCTTTAAAATAAAAAAATGAGATCCAGGATCTCACAAGGTCTCATATAAAGGGACCTGAAGTTCAAGTTTCATTGCCTCCTGGTACATCTGATTCTGGGTTAACCAGATGCAAGGAAGTGCAAAGGCAGTAAAGCCAGGCCTTGCAGGTACAAGGTACTGACTCTAGCACTCTGGGAAAGTTATTGATCTCTTTCAGAGAAAGAGGTGGCTGGGGCTGGCATGCGCACAAGAGAGAGAAAGGGAGGGAGAGAGGAGAGATGGAGAAAAAAGAGAGAGAGAGGAATGTCAGTAAGTCAAATTCTGGCTAAAATAAAACCAAAGTAAAATCCAGGGAAGGGAACTTTGCAGAAGGCTCCACACGGAAATACTGTTAATAGATATCACTTCTACATAAATTTGGTTTTTTTTTGGTTTTTGTCCGGTACCAGGAACCGAACTCACGACCTTGCACTTGCCAGGCAGGCGCTTTGCCGCTGAGCTAAATCCCCAGCCCCTGCATAAATTTGAAATGAATGACAATCCCCATTTTAAACTTCTATGGGCAAGCAAAAATTATGTGCTGCATATGATTTTTTAAAATTTTTAAAAAATTTTTTATTTTTTGGTACCGGGAATCGAATTCAGGTGGGCGCTTGTGCCACTGAACTATGTTCCCGGCTGCATATGATTTTATTTATTTATTAATTTTTCTTGTTTTTGGTTTTTCTCTGCTACCGGGAACCGAACTCGCGACCTTGCGCTTGCCAGGCAGGCGCTTTTGCCGCTGAGCTAAATCCCCAGACCCTGCATATGATTTTAAAATAATGATGCTGGTTTGTAGATGTGTTGAATTAAAGGAATATGCCCAAAAGGATTTTTAAAACTGTAATAACATAGAGTTTTAAATGAAGGGCCAAAACAATCCGTTGGTCTTGCAGCATCCTGGTGGGTACTTTGCCGCACTGCCTCTGGCCAAGAGACTTGGTTGTCTTCTTTGCTAGACATTCCATGAGCAGACGGACTGCCTTTGTCAGTCCACTCTGCAACTTTCTTGGCTACAGAGAGCCACCACGCCCAAGAGCACCCGCTGCAAGGACACCCCAGTGGCTGTGCATTGGGGCTGAATAAAATCAATTCTACTCCAGATGATGCTAATCTGAAACGCATTTTGGCTCCAGAGCGCCCCCAGGGTGTGGTGGCGAAACCCTGTCATTGCACCTTAATCTCAAATCCGCAGTCCTGCTTTCTCCCTTGCCTTTCCTAAAAAACAAACCATCTACTTGCTAAACCCCCATTCACACTGCTTCACAGGAAGCCAAACTGTGCTGAAAAGCAACCATTTTTTGGAAAGGTTTTACCAAAGTACAATTTACACACAGAAACAGAACATATAAATTTCCAGCTCAATGCAATTCAACAACTTGAACAGTAGATGTAACCAGTGCCAGATAAGAGCAGAACATTTCCAGCACCTCGAGAGAGACAACACTTTTAACAATTACTCTTTAAAATGTCTAATAAAATTTTAGCTGAACCTAACAATTCTTTAGATCTATACAAAAGAGAGGAGAAATATTGTTAGCTCAAGAGCTCAGAGCTTAAGCAAAGATTTTAACTTTTTAAAACAAAACTTGTAACAGTATATATAGTATTGTCCTCAATCCTTAAATTGAAGTTGAGTGGTGGTGACTCAGTCTTGTAATCCCAGCACTCAGGAGGCTGAGGCAGGAGGATGGCCTTTCTGATGATGAACTTGTTTGCAGAATCATTGGCAGCTCTGTCAAGGCAGTCTCCCAGGTTCTTATTTACCTTCTCTCCCTTTGCCCTTCACTTAGGTTATGACTGTAGCCAGCTGCTTACTTGTTTCTCCTAGGTATAGTGGCTTGTTGGAGCCATTGCACTGGCAGTGGACCCTGAGCGCCATGGATATCTCTGACCAACTTGACATCATGTTGAAAGCTTGAAACAGGTTAAGGCGGGAGTAGTACGTGGGACAGTGGGAACACATCCAAACTGAGGACTGTTTCCTGCAGCAACGAGGTTGTGCGACAATTAGCTTCACACTACTGCCTTCATTAGTATTCCACCTCAAAATTCTTGGATATTTAATCTCATGTGCTTCTTGGAATACTCAGATTAAGATGAAAAGGAGGAGGAGATGAAACCTGCTCTGGACATGTTTATATAGTTGATAGAAATCTTGAGATCCATCAAGACCACAAAAATAAAACTTTCTTCAGGAGAAAAATTATCATCAACTAAGGTTAC